CATGGACTTGTGCACCTTCAGGTTCTTTAAATGGTCTCAAACCTGATCTTCTCCTACAGCTGGCAGTTCTTCCTTCTCCCAGTCACTGCCTTTGCCTTCTGCAACTTGGGCAGCGTGGCTTGAGCTCTTGCCAGTGAAGACTGAGGTAAAGAACTCGTTGAGTACCTCAGCCTTCTCTATATCCTGGGTCACTAGGTCTCCCGCTTTCTTCCGGAGGGGGTCCACATTTTCCCTAGTCCTCCTTTTATCACTGACATACCTATAGAAGTTCTTCCTGTTACCCTTTACATCCTTGGCCATATTTAATTCTGTCTGGGCTTTAGCTTTCCTAACCCGATCTCTGGCTTCACAGACTCATTACCAGTTTGGAACATACCTTCCAATTCAGCTTCATCAACGAGGAACACAATTCACAGCTCATGATGGAAACCATGAGACATCTAACAATAAGCAGGCACCATCCATAGACTTGTTTCCAAAGTGCAGTCTTAACCAGAAATAAAATGCTCATGTAAATATGTCCAGACGATGTTATTATAACCCACAGGAGATGAATAGGCATTTAATGGAAACCATGATAGCAAACATCATGACAGTACCCTACTGAATACATAGAAGTAGTTTCGTAGGTCTTTAATATTAACTGTTACCTGAAGTTCTTCACATGATCTTCCACTCCTGAGAGACGAATAGAATGCTGCAGGGCATTCAAGTAAGTCAAAGCTTGTGTTGAGGATCCCCAGTTCACATCTGTTGGAAGATTTGACGTTCAGTATTTTATCTAAAGCTCTTCATTGTTAAACTACATGATCACAAAATAAATGTCAAAAAACTGAAAAAACAGAAATTTTAAGCTACATCTTTGTACATTCTACACAAAATTCTAGTCAACAAATGCTACAGCTAAATAGGTAATCCTATTTAAAGGTAACATTTCTGTAGAAGCTTTAGCAAACAAGTTAAGAGTGTGATATGTTACAATTATAGGAAGAAACAAATCAGGGTTTTTTTTTCCCCAACACTTCAAAGACTGTCACAACTTCAGAGTAAAAAAAACAAAACACCACTTCAGGAAAAAATGCCATGCTTAGTTATTCTGTATCACAGCAAAGGAAAAAGTAATCTCAAAACCTTGCTTAAACAAAGTCAAATACTTTCAGAGAAAAGCTGCTAGATTAAGCAGTTCCTTTTAGATTATTTTTATAAGGAAATGAAAGATCCCAGTATCCTCTCTATTTGTTCCCATATACATCTTTTGATAGCTAAAATGAATTTATCATTCAAGTACTTCATAATCTTCATATCCCAAGTTGTAGTGTTTTCCTTGTTTTCAACTTCAGGAACACTTTTTGGTTCAGATCTGCTCCATCTTATACTTAGGATCACACAGTGCTCTTAGAAGACAGAAGGAAGTGCATGAATTGCTGTTTATAGCTATAGGAATGGTTTACTGAAAAAACAACCACCACTCAAATCCCTTTTCAAGTTGGAAAGGTAAGGGAGCATCCTCTTTCACTCCTATCAAAACATAACATGCTTTCCTAGTGCCTTTGCTGTTGCAACTGAAGCTTTTTCCATATGCGCCTTTTCCTCCAGTATGTATTCAAATATTTATGTCTAAGTGCAAGGCATGCATCTTGATAATTCAGCAGG